GCACGCGTCGGTCGGAAGAAGCAGGCAAAAACATCAAATGGCGGATCTCGGATACCCTGATCCCAGAAACGTCTCCATCTCCTGGGGGCGCATCTTTTGCTTCCGCCCCCTTCCGGCGGCGTCCGCCGGCGGAGGCGGCCTCGTTCTGCTTCCGCCGACCTTCCGCCGCCTTCTGCCGAGGAAGAGATGACAACTCCTTCTATCCTCGAAGACGAGGCCCTTGTTGCAACGGCCCGTAGGAAGACGGATAAAGAAGATAGAGTTCGGGCCCTCCCAGAGAGTAACGAAACACAGGAGAAGCATATCAGTTCTTGAAGCAGGAAGGCGCTTGACGTAGGTTGGGATCTGGGAATCTCAAAATATTTACTCCCAACAGCCGAAATGTAAATCAGGATGCGGATGGCGGTTTTGCCCCAAACTCTGCGTGCACACGCGCTCCATGGCACACGAAATGAGAAGGATGGTGGACTACATCTCAGACTTGAACACACCACCGAAAGAACGACCCTCAACTTCCAAGGTATGTCGCAAAAAAAGCGTGTGCGTCCATGCAAGACTCCCTGGAGCCCGAAATTGAGTTTAAGGTGAGCCAGATATTCATCGATGCAAATGTGCATTTCCTGCATATGTTGTGCACGCGCTGTTCTGAACAATATACATATATATGTATACAAGACTGCATTGGCGCTTCGCGCCAAGCACCTTGGTCCTCGAGTCTTAGTGTGCAGGCGGAATGGCAGGAGGGTCAGGCAGACAACTTAGAAATAACTCCTGTTGCCTTTTCTTGCGTCGCCGTTATCATAAAACTGTTTTCGTCATCCGTCCTCCATGTTTCTTTTTTCTCATTCTCGTCCTACCCTGGAATTCTTCCCCATCCTCCTCAGCTCTTTTTTTGCGGAGGCTCCTCCGGGGCCTCACGCAAGTTTTTCAAGCTTTCTTGACGCCTTCTGGAGGCCTCCTGGGTCTTCTGGGGGCCTCTGGGGGCTTCCTCGGGCCACCCTGCCTCCAACCGCGGTCTCCCTGAACGACCGGGTCACGATTTGGAATGCTTCGGAGGGTGTCTTGGAGCCATCTTGGGCCGTCATGGGGCTCTCTTAAGCCATCTTAGAACCCTGTTGTTCCGTGTTGGGGCTCTCTTGGACTGCCTCGAAGTCTTTTCGGACGGCTTTGAGGCGATTTTCGAGCCTCCCAAGCGGTCTTGGACGCCCAGAAGAGCGAAGAACAGGGCATTCCCCAAAACAGCAAAAAAAATTGGAACGTCAATGTTTTTTCTGCGTTCTGGAAGCCTTTTGGGGGTCTTCTTTTGGTCATCTTCGGGCGTCCAGTGGGTGTCTGGGGCCTCTCGGGGCCCTCGGTGGGTCGTTCGGCTGCCCTCCTGACCGACCAGCCATAACTGGGGGAGCTGTGGTCCTTACCCCCCCGGGGGAACCCATCGCATCGACGATCTCTCGAGAGGGGTGTCGAAATCGATGGCTCCCCCAGGGGGGTAAGGACCACAGCTCCCCCAGTTGTGGCTGGCCTGCCTGACCGTTTTGGGCCCGTTGCCGGCCTAGCAAGGGCTTCCTGCAGGGGCGTCCAGGGGGCCCCCGCGCGGCCACGGATCCGGGAGGTCCAGAGGGTCCCGGGGGCCCAGGGTTCGGGGGGTCCGATTTCGGGGAGGGGGGTCCAGGGGAACAGTTACACGGGAGAAGAGCCCCAATCAGTGGATGGTTTGAAAATTAGTGGTATGGATATTGACATCGGTTGTGAGATCTGTAATGGAATCGATAATGAGGACGATTGTCAGGTCGACCGTGAGACCGATAGTGAAGTCGATTCAACGAGATCGATAGTGAGATCGATCGTGAAATCGCTCGCGAGATCGACGGTGAGATCGAATGTGATATCGATGGTGAGATCGATATTAAATCGATGGTGAGACCGATCGATAAGAAGATCGACCAGGAACCCGGGAACCTGGGAACCCCGCCGCCCACCGAAATCGGGCCCGAACCCGGAACCGGGAACCCGGGAACCTGGCCGCCCACCGAAGTCGGCCCAGAACTTTCGCCAAACCTTCAATCTCGGCTGGGACTCCTGCACTGATAAGGGAATTATATGTTCCTCTCTCTTTAATTCTGTCTTTCTTTCTTTTGTTTTTTGTTTTTTTTTTTTCTCTCTCTCTCTCTCTCTCTCTCTCTATGTTGTCTCTCTCTCTACATATGTATAAATATATTACTCCCTATTCATTCGGTGCATATATATATACACATACTAGAACCACTCGCGCGCTTCGCGCGCGCTTAGGTTCTGTCGAGTCACAGACCCAGGAATCCTCCTCCTCCTCCTCCTCCTCCTCCTCCTCCTCCTCCTCCTCCTCCTCCTCGTCTTCCTCCTCATCCTCGTCCTTTCCCGAGCGATACAATAACAACTTACGTGGAACTCTCTTGGGCCGCCTTTGGAGCCTCTTGGGGCGTCCTGGGTCTCTCGTGGGGGCTTCTTGGAGCTCTCTTGGCGCCTCCTGGAGCCTCTTGGGGCCGAAAGCTCGGAATTCTACAGTGGCTTTCTCCCTCTGGGACCCCTCTCGGGCACGCCTTGGGGCTCTCTTAGGCCATTTTGGAGTCCAATTTTGCCGTCCTGGGCGCCTCGTGAACCGTCTTGGAACTCTCTTGGGGGCCACCTAGGCCGTCTTGGGAGCCTCTTCGGACGTGTTGGACGCGGTGAAAACCCAACAGGCGACCATGCGAAAAGTATACGTTTTCCCATAGGAATGGGACAATTTTTGCTTCTTGGACCTCTCTTGGGGTGCCTCTCGGAACGTCTTGGGCTGATTTTGGAAGCTTTTGGCGCCTCTGGGCGGCGTTGTGGCGCCTCCTGGGATGTGTTGGGCCGGAAGCTCGGAATTCGAGGTTGGCTTTCTCCGTCTGGGACCCCTCTCGAAGTCGTCTTGGGCTCTCTTGGGCCGTCTTGGGGCCGTCCTGAGCCACTCGTGCGCAGCCTTGGAGCGCTCCCCGAGGCCTCCTAGGCCGTCTTGGAGGCCTCTTGGGCCGTCTTGGACGCGGTGAAAGCCCAAGATGAAAACATGCGAAAAATATACGTTTTCCCATAGGAATGGGACCATTTTTGCTTCTTGGACCTCTCTTGGGGTGCCTCTCGGAACGTCTTGGGGTGCTTTTGGGAGCCTTTTGGCGCCTCTGGCGGCATTTTGGCGCCTCCTGGAGCCTCTTGGGCCGGAAGCTCGGAATTCGAGGTTGGCTTTCTCCGTCTGGGACCCCTCTCGAACTCGTCTTGGGGCTCTCTTCGGGCCGTCTTGGGGCCGTCCTGGGCCACTCGTGCGCAGCCTTGGAGCGCTCCCGGAGGCCTCGTAGACCGTCTTGGGCGCCTCTTGGGCCGTCTTGGACGCGGTGAAAGCCCAAGAGGCGAACATGCGAAAAATATACGTTTTCCCCATAGGAATGGCACGATTTTTGCTTCTTGGGCCTCTCTTGGGCTGCCTCTCGGAGCGTCTTGGAGGCTTCTGGGACCTTCTTGGTGTCATGACAGGCGTCTTGGAAGGCATCTGGAGCCATCGGAGCGCGTTCCGAAGCCGCCTGCGAACGATCTTGGACGGCGTTCGGCGGTCCGACGAGCCTCCGGGCCCTCCGGGGCCCACATTTGTGGTCGAGGTCCCGGCCCCGGGGCCCCGGACCCGGTGCGCCGTTATATGTATACGCACCTACACGCATTTCATCTCTGTCCCTGTCTCTTTCTCTCTCTCTCTCTCTACTCGCCTCCCTCATTCTATATTTACCATAATTGTTTGGATCTCTCTCTCTCTCTCTTTCTCTTTCTTTGTTTGTCTTTCTCTCTCTCACCCTCTCTCTCTACACACATCGGAGGTTGGGGGGTGGCATTGCAGTGAAACGGAGACACCCCCACTAGGATATTGGTTTCGGATGCACGTTCGTGTCGCGCGCGCGGGCGAGGCGAAACTGCGTGGGCGGGCGAAAGGAATGAACTCGCCGTTGCCAAGGCGAAGCCGAACCAAACGTTGCTGTCCTCCGTGTTGGCCAGCACTGGCCCTGTGGTGTCCCGATGGTATCCCGTTGGTGTCCCGAAAATGTCCCGATGGTGTCCCCTGGTGTCCCGTGATGTCCCGTGGCGCGCGGGTGTCCCGTGATATGTTATATGCTATGCATTGTCATGCTAGCGATAGTGAGATTGATAGTGCAATCGATACTGAGATCCATCGAATGAGACCGACAGTGAGATCGATCGTGATATCGATAATGATATCGGTCGCGAGATTGGTAGTGAGGTCGATTAAGTGAGATCGATTAGTGAGGTCGGTACCAGGATCGATAATGAGATCGATAGTGAGATGGATAGTGATATCAAGTGAGTGGGATCGATAGTGAAACCGATCGAGAGGTCGATCGTGTGTTTGATAGTGGTATCGATTGAATGAGATCGATCGTGAGGCCGATATGGGGACTAATTGTGATATCGGTAGTGAGATCGACAGTGACATCGATGATGTTACCGATCGTGAGACCGATCGTGAGAGCGATCGTGAGATTGATCGTGCGATCGTTCGTGAGATCGATCGTGAGATCGATGGTGAGATCGATGGAGATAGTGGGATCGATAGTGATCTCGAGAGCGAGGTCGCTCAAGAGATCGATAATGAAACCGATCGAATGAGATGGATGATGAGATCGGTAGTGACATCGATAGTGAGATCGACCAGGAGCCCCGGAACACAAGACCCAAACATTGGAACCCCGGGAAACCCGCCGCCCACCCAAATCGGCCCAAAACCGAAACTGAGAACCCAAGACCCCGAAACCGGGAACCCGGGAACCCGGCCGCATACCGAAATCGGCGCGGAACTTTCGCCAAATCCTTCAATATCCGCTAGGACCCCTTCAGTGACATGGGGATAGTGCTGGTATTGTGCTGTATGAAGGTGTGGGCGAGACTAGAGAAGAACAGCACGCGCAGTATGATTGAAATATCACGATTGAGGAGGCGCCCTGCCAACTTCGGCCTGTGGGGCTTGTGGACCAGATCGAACAGCGAGCAGTCCATAAGCTCGGAGAGGATGTACTGCGTGCCGCCCTTGCTCCTGCGAGGTAATGGGCAGAAGACAGAAACTGGGGAGACCATGCGACGTGTTCCCCAACGTGAAGCGGCCGATTGCCACTACACAAACCAGAATATATGCAACCCGTCACCTCTCTGCATCTCCGTGGACGGGCCAAGTCTCTCTCTTGAGTCCAAGCTACCGCTTCGTGGGAACGACCTGGCCGAGCTCCGCGGTCCAACGCCACAGTTTTCACACGCCGAGCGTTTCCCCTTGACAGTTCGCCTGACTTGCAAACGCCAGCAAAACTGGAGGGAAGCATGACGATGAAGAAGCGGAGGATGCAGAGAACGATCGATGACAATGAGCAATATCGTCCAGCCTTTGAAGTAAGGCGGTTTAGGGCGGTTCTTCTTCCACCCCCCTTCTTACTCTTCGCTCCTTATTAATAAATGTCCCTTACCCCACCCGACTAGCTACAAACCGAAACCAATGTCGACACCCCCCCCCTATCCCTGACGAAAAACAATACACCAGGTTCTGGACAGTGCTCTGGCGCCCCGCGATCCCTGTACATCGTCTGTTCGACGGGGACGACGGGGGGGGGGCATCCTATTGCCAGGGCGTGTGCAGGGCCACGCGCCCTGCCAGAAACGTGTGCCAGCCACCTGGCACGACAGAACGATTGGACCGTGCGCGGGTGCCCCGCGACCAGCCTGCCTCGTTGTTCGACGCGGCGCTCGGGGTGCCCCGGCCCGCGCGCGCGCCTCGTGGGCGTCGCGCACCCGGGGCTGGCTCGCACTGGCTCCCCACCGCTGGCGGCGGCGGCTGTGTTTGTTGGCAGGGGCGGCGGGGAGGGGGGGGGGCAGCATAATGAAGGGAAACGATTGGAAGAAAACTTTCTGGGGCGGGCGCTTAAAAAGACTGTTTCGCGGGCCTCCTTGCCCCCGCAATAGCGGGGGGCAGGGCAGGCAGACGGGGGGCTGACAATTCCGGGTTGCCTGGAAGGCCAGGGGGGGGGGGGGGCACGGGGTGGCGATCCAACCCTTTCTCAGGGCAGTACAGACTGCATCTTGTCTGGACCATGCGCGGGCTCCCCGCGATCGATGTGCACTGGTTTCGGGAAGGTCGGCGGGGGTGCAGGCACATCCGCCAGACGTCAGGGTGGCCACTCCGCCACGATGGCGCACTGGCTTTCGGTGAGGACGGTGGGAGTCGACATGTTTCCCGATGTGCGCGGGCGCACCTGGCACACTCTGCGCGTGCCACGGACGTGGCGCACCTGACGCGGCTTGAACATGCGGCACGCTTGGCGCACGTGGAATTGGCGCGTCTGGCGCACCAGGCGTGCCTGGCACGCCCAGGCCCCAGGGGCGCCTGGCGCCCCTGGTGCGCGCGGTGCGCCTGGCACGCGTAGCGCACCTCGCCCCAGCGTCGCGCACCTGGGGTCTGTATTGGCTCCCAGTAGCTGCTCATCCAAAGACGACCGCTGAATATACTGAGACTCGGGTACTTCTGTGTTGGGGGGGCGGGTGTGAGTGAGCCAGACCATGTGCGTTTGGGAGAGGTGTCTTGATCACTGCTCCTTCTCAAGGCACGCCCTCTCCCCCACCCGACGGGCGACAAACCCGGGACACTGCCGCCCCCTCTCCACCATCCCCGTCAAACAAATACAACAGCACTCTGCACCAACATCTGGATCGTGCGCGGATCACTTTGCACTGGTCTTTGCCAGGGGCGGCGGGCCAGCGTGTGGAAGAGGCTGTCCCGTTTGACTCGTCGTCGTCGTCCGCGTCGTCGTCGTCGCTGCCGTCGCCGTCGCCGTCGTCGTCGTCGTCGTCGTCGTCGTCGCCGCCCCTTTACCGAAGGGGCCGTTGAGGCTGTTCGGTTTGACTCGCCGTTCGCCACTCTTCCCCTCTTCTTCCTCGGCCCTCCTCTCAAGCGCTCGTGACCGATTCGAAGGGAGGCCCCTTCCCTTTCATCCCTCCCCCGCCAGTGGGGCCCCCGGGGAGGGCCCCAGGGTGTCCCGGGGGCAGAAAACCATTCCCCCTGGGGTGGCCCCATGCTCAAAAAAAGTCACCACTTGGCTGCGTTCCTGCCCTCCCGGAAAAGTAATAGCTTCTCTTCGTTTTTCCTATAAGCCTGCCCTTTGCACGCTTGGCCAGGGGCCCACTCGCGAGACCTATGGGCCAAACTTGGAGCGCGCGCCACATTCGCGGGTTCTGCGGTGCACTGCCGGGGTGCCGCTTCTGGCCCAGAGAGGCCAAGAGTGCCCCAGGAGGCCTGCAAGACCGTCCAGGAGGACCCCGCCTCGCCGAACGGTCGGTCCAAGGCGTTTTGACGGCCTCCAGACGTCCCAAGAGGCCTGCAAGATCCACCAAGAGGCATGGAGGAGCACTCCCAAGAGAGCCCCAAGACCCCAAGAGGCAAAATTCACGGATCGCCCAAAAGTTTTGAAACGATTTCGGCGTTCTCGCCTTTTCCGCCTCCCAGCACTCCAAGACCGCCCAAGAGGCCCAAAGATCGCCACAAGACGCCTCTAAGAGGGTCCCGAAACGGCCGAAGAGGGCCCAAGACGGCTCCAAGACGGCCCAGGAGGCCCCCAAGACGGCTCCAAGGAGTGCCCAGACGAGGGAACCCAACGGACATTTCGAGCCCTCGGCCCCGAGAGGCTCCCAGGAGGCCTTAAGAGGCTTTCAAGAGACCTCCCAAAGGCTCCAAGGAGCCCCCACGAGGCCCCCAGGAGCTACCAAGAAGCTCCCAAGATGCTCCCACGAGGCCCCAAAACTGACCCCCAGAGGCCTCCGAGAGCGCTCCGAAGAGACCCCAAACAGCATCCCTGAGGACTCTGACCCACGTCAGCGTCGTCGCCGCCGCCGCCGTCGCCGTCGCCATCCCCGTCGCCGACGCCGTCATCATCGCTGACGCCGCCGCTCCCCCCTTTCCCTGGGCCCTTGAGCAAAGTCGTGGTTGAATCGCAAGGAAACTCCTTCCAATTGATCTCTTCCTCTCCCGGGTGGGGGTGTCCTGGGTGGGGGGATCCTGGGTGAGGGGTCCCGGGTCAGAATACCGTCCTTCTGGGGGGATCCTTAATCAGAATACCATCTCCCCCAAGGGGTCCTGGAGCCCCAGAAATCTCCAAGACGCGCCAAGCGTGCCCCAAACGGCCCCCAAGACGGTCCAAGAGGGTCCCGAATCGCCGGAAGATCTGTCCAAGACGCTTCCAGAGAGGCCTCAAGAGGCCCGCAAAACCTCCAAGAGCACGCCCAAGAGGGCATCAAGAGCCAAACTTCATCGATTTTCCTTAGATGTTTGACAGATTAGGGCGTTCTTTCTCGCCATTTCGGCTTCCCGACGCTCCATGAGGGCCCAAACGGCCCCCAATATTGCACCAAGACAGCACAAGAAGCCGCCAAGAGGGCCTCAAAACGACCCAGGAGGACCCCATGACCTCAAGACGGCCCACGAGGCCTCCAAGACGGCCCAAGGGGTTCCCAAGACGGCTCCAAGAGGGTGCCCAGACGGGGGACCCGAACGGACATTTCGAGCCCTCGGCCCTGAGAGGCCCCCAAGAGGCCCCCAGGAAACCCCCAAGAGGCCCCCAGGAAGCCCCGAGGGACCCCAAGAAGCATCCCTGAGGACTCTGACCCACGCCGGCGTCGTCGTCGCCGCCGTCGCCGCCATCGTCGCCGCTGTCCCGCTTCAGGGCCGGCGGCACCGGCCGTAAGGCCTTCGCAAGACAGCAGCACGCTGCGCCAAAATCTGCATCGTGCGCGGACGCCCCGCGATTACTCGGCACTGGTCTTGCCAGGGGCGGCGGGCCCAACCACGTTGCACCAAGATCTGCATCGTGCGCGGTCGCCCCGCAATCGCTCTGCATCGGTTTTGGCGGGGACGGCCGGGGGGGGGCGGCATACCGCCTGCTGTGTACAATGCCAGCCCCCTCCCCATCATCCCCTTGCGAAAAGCAGTGCCGAGCGCTCGTCGCACCAGAAGGTGGATCCTGCGCGGGCGCCCCGCGATCACCTCGCATGGGTTTTTGACAGAGGCGGCGGGGGGCCAGCACATTGCATGGTGTGTGTGTGTGTGCAGGCCCACGACTCTTGTCAACTGAAAATGCTACCTTCGCCTCACCAGGGACGGCGGGGGGGGGGATCGGCATACTGCCCGCTGTGTGTAGGCCCACCATCTCTGCCAACAGGTGCAACATGATCGCGTGCGCACACCCACACACAATAGTTCGTCGGCGGCGAGGCAGGGCTGCCTGCACCAGCAATATAGCTAAACGGGGGCACCGAGAAGCGTATTTGCCAGCGTGCAAGAGCGGGCAGAGGGCAGAGGAGGCGGCCGCGAGGGGAGGGGAAGAAAAGGCCACTCAGAAGTGGACGAACTCTCACCTGAGTGCGCTGGCGCAGCCGGCCCCGTCAGCGGGATCCATGCTCGCACATGCGCCGTAACCTTGCATGAGTTTTTGACATGGAAACTGGGGAGCGAGGTCGACACATTGCCCAATGTGGCGCACCTGGTGCGCGTGGCGCACCTGACATGTGCGGTGGGCCTCGCGGGTTTCTGGCACACCTTCGCTTCGCTTCGCTTCGCTCCGTGGGAACGCCAGTCAATGCCTGAAGCGCCCCAAACAACACCGCGGGCCGCCACCGCGCGGGCCCGCTCACACCTTGGCGGTGGGTGGAGAACCCTCCCCGGTCACGACTTCCAGAGAGGGAGGCCCCAGCCGGGGAGGCTGAGGGGGGCCCACAGGAGACCTGCGCAACCAGGGAGGGCAAGAAGAGAGGCACGGCACAGCCGGTCCCCCGGACAAGACTCCCAGGCGAGGGACCCCCAGCCGGGAAGGCTGGGTTGCTCGCCAGGAGACCTGCTCATCCAGGGGAAGGGGCGGAATGCAGTTCCCCCGGGGCCCCGGTGCACCGCCAGAGCTTCTGGCACACCTGGCTGGCGTCTGCTGTGGCTCCCGATGGTTGTCGATGGCGGCCCCTGCCTGGCAGGTGTGGGGGGTGAGGCAAGATGTCGGTGCGAAGCACGCACGGTCTTGCACCCCACAGGAGCACACCTTAGGCCTCACCAGACACGACGGCGAGACAACGATCGCAATGTGGACGGAGGACCCCGAACTTGTATGCGAGAATGCGCTTGGCAAGCTGGCGCCGCCGCCTGGTGGCAGCGGCGTGAACATAGCTCGGCACGCCGGCGGAGACGTCCCACGGAGCGCGAATCCACTCATCCCGCCCCTGCCTATGCCGAGACTCGGGTGCTACTTATGCGGCGGGATGGCGGGCGGGAGCGAGCGAGACCGCCTGCGGCGTTCTCGTCGGAGACTTGATCAACGCTCTTCCTTCATACGCACCCCCTCCCGCACCCGACCAGCGACGAACCCAGGGCCAGGCTTAGGTCGGGCATGTCCCCTTACAAACGGATTTTGGACGAAAAATTAAAATTAGCCTGACGGAGGACCCAACCATATGTAGGTGTGAGTACCGCAATTGTGATTCACTTTTTCGGTGGTGATCCCTATGAGGCAACGAACCAAGGGTGTGCCGACATGAGCGGCGAGGTCCACAACGCGAACGAAAACGAACAAAACGATGCGGACTGCGCCACGGGGACCTTCGGAGGGGCTCCTATGGGGCCACGAAACGCTGTACTGGGCGAGGGAGACGCATGCGGACTGCGCCACGGGAACCTTCGGTGGAGTTCCCTATGGGGCCACGAAGCGTGTGAGGGGTGTGCCGAAATGAGTGGCGGGGTCGCATGTGGACTGTGTCACTGGGACCTTCGGCACAGCTCCTATGGGGCCACGAAACGTGTGAGGGGTGTGCCGACATAACTGGCGGGGACGCGTGCGAACTGTGCCACTGGGACCTTCGGCGAAGCTCCTATGGGGCCACCAAACGTGTGAGGGGTGTGCCGAAATTAATGGCGGGGACGCATGCGAACTGTTCCACTGGGACCTTCGGCGGAACTCCTATGGGGCCACGAAACGTGTGAGGGGTGCGCCGAAAAGAAGCGAACTGTGCCACTGGGAACTTCGGCGGAGTTCCTATAGTGCCACGAAACGTGCGAGGGGTGTACCGAAAAGAGGGGCAGGGACGCATGCGAACTGTGCCACTGGGACCTTCGGCGGAGCTCCTATGGGGCCACGAAGCGTGTGAAAGGTGTGCCGAAATAACTGGCGGGGGCGCATGCGAACTGTGCCACTTGGACCTTCGGCGGAGCCCCTATGGGGCCACGAAGCGTGTGGCGGGGACGCATGCGAACTGTGCCACTGGGACCTTCGGCGGAGCTCCTACGGGGGCACGAAACGTGTGAGGTGTCTGCCGAAATGAATGGCGGGGGCGCATGCGAACTGTGCCACTGGGACCTTCGGCGGAGCTCCTATGGGGCCACGAAGCGTGTGAGGGGTGTGCCGAAATGAATGGCGGGGACGCATGCGAACTGTGTCGCTGGGACCTTCGGCGAAGCTCCTATGGGGCCACGAAACGTGTGAGGGGTGTGCCGAAATTAATGGCGGGGACGCGTGCGAACTGTGCCACTGGGACCTTCGGCGAAGCTCCTATGGGGCCACGAAACGTGTGAGGGGTGTGCCGAAATGAGTGGCGGGGACGCATGCGAACTGTGTCGCTGGGACCTTCGGCACGGCTCCTATGGGGCCACGAAACGTGCGAGGGGTGTACCGAAGCTCCTATGGGGCCACGAAACGTGTGAGGGGTGTGCCGAAATTAATGGCGGGGACGCATGCGAACTGTTCCACTGGGACCTTCGGCGGAGCTCCTATGGGGCCACGAAACGTGTGAGGGGTGTGCCGAAATGAGTGGCGGGGGCGCATGCGAACTGTGCCACTGGGACCTTCGGCACGGCTCCTATGGGGCCACGAAGCGTGTGAGGGGTGTGCCGAAATGAGCGGCGGGGACGCATGCGAACTGTGCCACTGGAACCTTCGGTGGAGCCCCTGTGGGGCCACGAAGCGTGTGAGGGGTGTGCCGAAATGAGCGGCGGGGACGCATGCGAACTGTGCCACTGGGAACTTCGGTGGAGCTCCTATGGGGCCACGAAGCGTGTGAGGGGTGTGCCGAAATGAGCGGCGGGGACGCATGCGAACTGTGCCACTGGGACCTTCGGCGGAGCTCCTATGGGGCCACGAAACGTGCGAGGGGTGTGCCGAAAAGAGGGGCGGGGACGCATGCGAACTGTGCCACTGGGACCTTCGGCGGAGCTCCTACGGGGCCACGAAACGTGTGACGACGACGACGACGACGACGACGACGACGACGACGACGACGACGACGACGACGACGATGATGATGATGATGATGATGATGATGATGATGATGATGATGATGATGATGATGATGATGATGATGATGATGATGATGAGAGGAAGGGACGGGAAGGAGAATAATGAGGAGACGCGGGGACCGTCTCTTCAAAACGAGGACCCAACAACACAGGTCGGTTGGGAAATAACCAGAAACAATCTTCAGATGATACCTACATATACCAAACAAACATCGTCCCCAAACTATCTTCCGGACTATTTTTGAATATTCCTCCTGGTAGAGAGACGGGCCCGACCTAAGGCCAGGCAGCCCCCCCCCCCCCGCCGCCCCTGCGCAGAGTGCGGCAGCACCCGGGCCCTGCGCGGGCGCCCCGTGAGCACCTCTGCACTGGCTTTTCGGCAGGGGCCGGCCGGGGGCGCCCTGGCCTTGTCCGCTCTGCCCGGGCCCGCCGTCCCTGTGGTGGGTCCTTGCGCCGGCCCTGCAGCCGTGCTGCCGCGGACTTCTGCGCGGATTGTGCTGCCCGAAGCGGCGAGCGAAGAGCGACGTGACTTTCGCGTGGGCTCTTTTTGGTCTTCACTCCTGGCCCAGCAACAAAAAATCCGTACGAAATTCACCTCGACATCCGAACGACATTCTCCAGGACACTCCGGGCCCATCCTATCGTTTTCCGAACGAAGTCCGCTCTGCGTGGTTGGCGCCGTGAGATGGAGGGCGGCTCCTTTTCAAAGGTGGCTCTCGCCTTAGCGCCGCGTGCATCCGTTGTACAAACTTACAACAGGTTCAAGGATTTAGGGTCGAAGTCCCAGGAACGGTGCTGGGGCACGGTTCGGGCTGGTCAGCACGCAACAGTCGTGCTGCCTCGCCGTATTGAGATCCCAGGAACCGTGTTCTGACACGATGTGGGACTAGGCCGCAACAGTCTTGTTGATCTGCGGCGTTGAAGCCCCAAGAACTATGTTTTGGCACGACTGGAAATCTTCATGGCTTCCCGCAAAGACAGCCATTTCTTCTGGGGACCTATGAAGAGGGAATCTGGAGAGAGAGGGTCTACTGCAACATCGTTGACGCGTCTTTCTTTCCTCTGGTCTTCTTCCTCCTCCTCCTCCTCCTCCGCCGCCCCCCTCCCTCCTCGCCCCTCCCCCTCCCTCACCCTTCCTCCCTCCTCCCCCCTTCTTCCGCCGCCCTCCCTCCCTCCCCGGCCCTCCTCCCCCTGACCCCTTCCCCGACGCCCGTGCTCCTGCCGTCGGTGCAGATGCCTATGAAGCTGCACAAGTTCGCGTCGTCCAGGGTGGCCATCACCCGGCTCTCCTCGGCTGGGCGCGCAGGAGGCGCTGCGCGCGCGCCCTGGCACGAGGAGACGGCCGGGGACTCCTGGACAGCGCGTCGCCGTGGCGGCCCCAGCGGCACGCCATGCCCTGCGAGTGGATGGCGTGTCGCTCCGCTCCGCGGGGAAGGGGGGGCTGGGAGAAGCTCGGCGCGTGGACGCCTCGGGACCGCGAAGCGGATAGCGCGTCGCACAGGGGGGCGGTGGGCCAGAGCCAGCGGATCGGCACGCTGGCCCAAAAGCTCCCGACCACCGCAGAGAGAAAGGAGGAGACGAGAGGAGAGAGGTAAGGAGTAAGATGCTGCAGGAGTACGCAGAGCAGGTGGAGAGGAGAAGGAGGAGGAGGGGAGTGTGGACGAAAATTATGGTGATGGTGATGAGGAAATGGAGGAGAAGAGGGTGGACAAGGTGGAGATGGGAAGGGGACGAGGATAGGGCTGGGAGTTGGAGGAACGACCAGGGATACGAACATGCAATATATATATATATATATATATAATATATATATATTATGATATATTCCTTCTACCTATCAAATTACAAGGAAAAACCCGGCATGTCACCGACACCCCCCCCCACCTGGACCCCAGATGAACCCCACAGGCCCCCAAGAGAGCCCCACAATGCTTCGAGGCGGCCCAAAATGCCCCGAAGAGAGCGACACGAGGCCTACATCGGGAGCCCAAGACAGCAGAAGGCACTTCCCAGACGTCCTCTGCAAGGCCCAAGAGGCCCCAAGACGGCCCCAGAGTGCTCCAACAGGACCAAACATGGGCTCAAGACGGCCCAGGATGCCCCCGCAAAGACCTCCAATACGGCCTCAGCAGGCCAAAAACCTTAATTTTCCGTTGGTTTTTGAACGACTCTGTGCTTCTCGCCTTTTCTGGCCACGAACGGCCCAAGAATGGTCTGCGAGCTTCGAGGTCGCCCCGAAATGGCCTCCAGGCGGCCCAATGGGGCCCCAAGATGGGCCAATAAAGCGCCAAGAAAGGCAGGGAGCGCCCAAAAGACCCCTAAAAGACCTCCAAGAGGGCCCCAACAGAGCCACGGGATGCTTCAGAGAGGGCCCGAGAGAGCCCCAACACGGCCCCAGGACGGCCCAAGCCCCCCCAGACAGCCCACGAGGGCCCCAGGACAGCCCAAGAAGGCCCTCCGATGGTATACAAAAGCGCCAACAGGAGCTCCACTCAGTCTTAGAGCTGTCAAATTCATTACATTCTGATTGACCTGAGCCGTCGTCCTTGGCTCGGCTGGCCGCGCGCCGAATGGGCCCGCGTGGCAGAGAAGGAAAAGGAGCAGGAGGCGGGACGGAGGAGAAAAAGGAGGAAGAGGAAGGAACGGTGAGGATAGCGAGAAACAGGAGGGGCCCCAGGAAGACGGAAGGAGGGCAAGGAGGAGCAGGAGGAGGGGAGGGCAAACGGCGGAAACAGAAGACAGCTTTCACTGGGCCCCGTGCTCTCGCCGAGGCGCCGGCCACATCTCTCATTCAATATCGTGTTGCCGCTTCGCTCGCGGGACTCCCTGCCTCTACCAGGTCAGCATCCCGTCCTCCAGCATGCGGCCGCCGACTTTCCTCTCAATTCTTGACGCTTCGCGTATACCCACCTTGAGTCTGAGTTAGTCGCTCACGCTCGCCCTCTCCTCCTCTCTTGCCACCTGTGTCGCTTGTGGTTTGGCTGGAGCTTGGCGCCGAAACGGCGACTTCTCCCCGCCGTCCCGCCGCCGGTCGCCGCGCCTTGGCGTCCCCACCCGCTGGGATGTCTGTGCCGGTCTCCTGGCGCTTAATGTGGGTCATTTTGTCCCTTGCATGTGCATACGCCTCTGCGGCCAATTATCTTCGTTCCGCGCCCCGAACGCTACCCCGCTTCTTGACCTTCGCCAGGGAGCCGCCAACCAAACAAAGTATCCTCACCTTGATCACCTGGTCGCGCTGTACGCGTCCTCGCTTGTGGCTGGCTGGAGCTTGGCGCCTAAAGGGCGACTTCTCCCCGCCGTCCCGCCACCGGTCGCCGCGCCTTGGCGTCCCCACCCGCCGGGATGTCTGCGCCAGTCTTTGGCGTCTAATGTGGGTCATTTTGTCCCTTGCATGTGCATACGCCACTGCGGCCAATTATCTTCGTTCTGCGCCCCGAACGTTGCCCCGCTTCTTGACCTTCGCCAGGGAGCCGCCGACCAAAAAAGTATCCCCACCAGCCCGTCCAGAATTGATTGCCAGCTTTCCCGAGGCCTGTTGGAGGCTATCCTGAGCCATGCTCGACTAGAGTCTGTCAGAAGCTATTCTGAGCCATGCTCGGCTATGTCGGGCCATATTCAGGCTTTCTTGAGGCCTCTTGGAGATCTGTCGGAGGCTATCTTGAGCCATGCTTGGCTATCTTGGGCCATTTCGGAGGCCATCTTGGGCTATCTAGGGCTCTCTTGGAGCCATCTTGGGCCAAGAAGGGCGGGGTGGAGAATCTTCAGGAGAGGCTGGGAGGCCTCTCGGGGCCGTCTTGGGCCCCATTGTTCAAAAAGAGCGGGGGTCCTC